GGGCAGCTGGCGGCCGGCGTGAGAGATCACCCTTTCTCCTCCCTTCTTCACTTTATCTTCCCTCCCTCTTCCTCCCCATCACCTCATCTTTCCGGCTCCATCCCCAGCCAAACGCAGACCTGGCAGCGCTGAGTCAGCAGTGCCAATGAGGAGCTGCCCCACGCCTGGTGCACAGGCTGTGCGTGGGAGGGAGAAGAGCATGGTGGCCCCCGTGGCCAGCCTGTGGTACCCTTTGCACGGCCGCTTGGCTCGCCGGGCAGCCGGCCGCTGCCAGGGACAGACAGAGCCGGAGGGAAAGGGGGTGTGGGGCGGAAAACCGCCCGCAGTGTCACCCCAGCCCCCCCTGTCCGCTGCGGGGTTTGGTGGTGGGATGGCAGGGTTAGGTTAATGGTTGGACTTGATGATCTTAAAGGTCTTTTCCAACCTAAACAATTCTGTGATTCTAAGTAGCCGCAGAGGGCACCGGCCGGAGAGGAGCTGGGGAGCCTGGGGTCACCTCCTTAACAAAGCTCCCCAGGCCCGCAGCGGAAGGGGAAGAGGTTCCTCTCCCTCCTCTTCCTCCCTCACTGCGTGGGGATTTTGCAGGCAGGTAAACACAGGATGTTGATGATACGGGCTCAGCAGATTGGGCAACCCTGGAGGAGGCAGGAGCTCCAGGCAGCTCCCAGTGCCTGCCATGAAGCCCGGGGGTGGCCATAGAGAGGGGAACGGGCAATGACTCCTCTGCCTGTCCCCAGCTTCATGAAACTCCTCTGTGTGGAGGGAGAGGCAGCGTGGGCTGGCGGTCAGACCCGGGGCAGGGTGGGCTCCCTGGGTTGGCTCTCTCCCACCCACTGCTGTGCACCCTCGGGTGAGCCACTGCACCTCCACAGCCCCTGGCATCTCCTTGCAAGCCAGGCTGGTGCTCACAGTGTGCCGCTACACCCGGCCGAGGTAACCACATGGCACCTTCTGGGTCCCACTGAACACCAGGGCATGGGGATGGGGGTCCAGACCCCCCAGGATTGCACCCTACCAAGAATTGGCTCAGCACCCGCCTCTCATGGCTGGCACACAGGGACAGGCTCTTCCCTGCTCCGGTACAGTGTGTGCTGTACAAAATACGGCTCCTTGACAAGGCACAAGAGGGAAGATGGGGGACGGAGGGGAAAAAACAACCTTGTTTTGGTGTTTCTTGGATGTCTCAGGCCGGTGGTTAGTCAGCCCTTGGCTCCCGGACTGAGCCTTGCGGGGCTCTGCAGCACAGCCTCATGGCTGGCAGCCGGGTGCCACGGGGGTCCCTGGCTCCTTCTGGGGCCTCTGGTGAGTGTGGGATGGGGAAGATTTGGGGCTGCACATGAGCATGCAGCAGGGTTTTCCCGGGGAATGAAGCAGCTGGAGGCCAGGAGGTGACGGGCATCTCCAGTTTTGCAGTACCAGGATGCTTGTGGCCCCTTCAAGGGGTTCCCTGGAGGCAGCATGATGATACCAGATACCAACCACCATGCCGGGCCCTGCTCCCCTCCTGGGATCGGGGCACCCCGTACCGCTCCGTGGCAGTGAGGCAGGATGGGGCACCCAGAAACTGGCTGAACGCAGGAGTCTTTGGCTCCCAACCCAGGAATGGGGCTGCAGACCGCTCCAGCGTCCAGCCCAGCTTGCTTCTCGGGTGTGGGTGCTGCCGTCACCCCTGCAGGGACCACGAGCGCCTGGCCAGCAACCAGGGACAGCGAGTGACGAGCAGGCCACAAGCAAGCCACAAGCAAGCAGAAGGGACCCAGCCCCTGGGCAGGGACTGTGGCTGGGGCAGCAGGAAGGAGCCAGGCAAGGGAAGAGGGGACGAGGAGCGGGATGCGGTGCTGGCCCTGGCATGGCCAGGGGTGCCAAAGAGGCTACCAGCTTCGCTAGAGCATGAGTGGAGGGGCATGTGGCACTGTCCCCAGTGTCCTCAGTATCCCTGGTGTCCCCCTGGATACTGCTGCCATCTGCTGGCAGGATCCAATCCTGCTCTGGTCCTGAGTCTGGCAACTGCGCCAAGGCCTGGGGACCCCTCTGTGACCCCACTGTCCTGTGCCCCACTCCTGGGCACACAGCGTGACACCATGCATGGCTCTGGGCTGGACACCCCGAGGTGTCCCTCAAGCCTCCCTGCTGTGAGCCCAAGGAAGCTGGGCCCCAAAACTGCTCAGGGTGTCCATCCGAGGCACGGTGGGTCATCACCCCGTGCTAACCTGCTCCCTGGGCTGCAGATTTCTCCCACGCTGACCCCCTCCCAGTGCTCAGGCACCCCCACACCCAGCTCACCCCACCACCACCACCTTATTTTATGCTCTTTGCAAGCAGGCTCCCTGCTTAGAATCATCCCATTCGTGCTGGTGAGCACAGGGACAGGATCAGGCCCTTGGCTGGTAGCAGGGCTAGAGCAGCGGCTCTGCTGGGGCTGGTTTCTCCAGGGACCATCCAGCTCCGCCGCTCACCAAGGCTGCCGAGCAGCAGAGGAAGCTCGCCCCGAGATAGCCATCTTCCTGCTGCAGCCCCGGCCCCTTGGGTCTCGCCGGGATGCAGAGATTTGCTGAGTCCTGTCCTCCTCGTGACAGGCGTGCACATACCGAGCCTCTTCCCACGCCCCCCCGACCTTCCCAGCTTCTCTGCTTCCCCTGGGACCAGCAGGTTCTGGGGCCATGCTGGGGATAACCATTGGGGTGCAGAGACACCCCAGGGACACCCTGCACATCCCTCTCTGTTTCCCACGGGCACCGAGACCCTGAAAAATGCCTCGGTGGGGTGTTACGCGGTGTTTGTTTTTCAGATACACTTGAGAAGCGGGGTTAAGGTTTGGAGGAGGCAAATCGCCGAGCCGGTGTTCCCGCAGAAGCCCTGCGAGCACGGCGGCTCATCCCTCCCTGGGCAGATGGCAGCGACGTCCTGCTCCTCGCTGGAAAATGCCCAAGTCCATGGGCAGGGATCGAGCCGCAGCTGTCCCTGGTTTAATTCCTCGCAGGAAAGCAAAACCAGCGTCCGGTGGATTTTCTGTGCGCTTCATGCCCCGGCCCACACATATGATGGGAAGGCTGCACAGCTCTGGGGACCTTTCCGCTGGGAATGATGCCCTGCGTGCGAGCGCCTGACACCCACGGGAGCTGGAGGAATTTGTTTTAGTCTAAAAGGGATTTTTTTTTCCTTAGCCCTGCAAAAGAAAGCTGGAAAAAAAAATGACACACACTCCCCCCTCAAAGGGCCACAACCCAAAAAGCAGGTAACTAGGCTGAAGCTTCAATATTTGGAGCTGGGACCTGGCAGGTGGTTTTCAATCTGATTTCCAAAGAAACCAAATGTGTGCATGCACCTGCACCCCTGCCCGTTCCACCCGCCGTGATTTTTTTTTTCCAAAACAACCATTCCCACCAAGCCACCTTTCAAAGGCCATGGGGGGCAGCTCAGCCCTTACCAGACATCAGAGACTCCCCCATCGGCACTCCCAGCCCCTTGGCCACACTCTCCAGGCACACATCGCCCACATCCTTAACCTGTGTGTCCAGCCCATCGCCATCCAGTTGCCTACCAAAACCTCGGCGGCCGCCCCACGCCGCTGCCCGCAGCCCATCGCATAGGTGATGCCGAATCGTGCTGCCAGCCGACGCGCCCGGGGCCTTTTGTAGATGGGGCCCCTGGCATCCGGGTGGGCCAGCACGGCTCCCCCTTCCTCCCAGCACATTTGGGCAGCCTGTGCCTGCCCGCAGCGTCCCCCGCGAT